ATCCGACCGACGTTGAGTGATCTGCCGTTTCGGAAACGGCCGATCGCTCAAGGTCGAACGATCCCCGCGGTGTCAGGAACCATCGCCTCGGTCGACACGACACGAACCTGCCGTAGCCGACTGACCCCTACCGCTGGCAAGCCCCGCTCGGGATACCTCGACGTTGGCGTCCGCGTTCGGTGCCTCTTCGGCCCAACCCCGCTCCGGACACCCCGACGTTGGCGTCTACTGTTCCCTTGCATCCTTGCCTCCTCGGCCCAGCCCCGAGCCCTTCCGATGGCCAGCCCCGCTCGGGACACCTCAACGTTGGCGTCCGCGTCTGGCGCTCCTTGTGGCAGCGCGTTTACTGTTCCCTTGCGTCCTTGCCTCCTCGGCCCAGCCCTGACCCCTTCCGACCCTGAGATCCGACGTAGCGAAAATAATGCAACATTCCGAAGAATCACTCCTGGAGCCCTAGACACCATCTTTCTGCATTATTTTTCGAGCCGAATCGATCTGCGAGGGTCCCGGGGCCCGAGAAAAGGCGAGAACACCGGGCTCGAAGAAGTTGAGACGCCAGGATCTCAGTAGCCCCGCTCGGGACATCTCGACGTTGCCAGACATCTGGCTGCTCCAATGTTTTGGATGCTTGGCCCCAGAGGTCCAGACCAGAGCCTGTTTTTCAGATTCAGGCAGTTTACTTGCATGGCAGTTTGCCCCCCCGGCCCCCCCCCCCGCGTTTCTGATTCACACAGCACTTGGCCGAAAAAGCGTGAAAATGCTTTTCGACTTGCGTGATTTCCGCGCCCCCCCCCCGCGTGCAAGTGCAAGGCGCCATTGGGGCATGAATTTGGTTCAAGATGGGTTTTCTATCAAGAGCAGCTGTCTGCCTAATGGATCGCCATCGTAGCCCCAACGGTATGGACTTGGCAGAAATTGTGGCTTCATGGTCCCAAATTTGCATTCTGGGTGATTCCGGTGTTCAGGCGTCCGAGACAAGCAAACCGCTTGAGACATCCCAAGCACCTGGGCGCGATCGTGTCCGTGCAATCCTTCCTGGCGCCCCCCCTGGAGAGGCTGAGAAATGCTTTCAAACAGCTCCGATAACACCAGATTTGGGGGTCCAGGCAAGAAGACCACCTAAGGCATTCTCATTCGGAGAGGTGGCCACAAGGCACGCCCATCGCTTCAGGTATCGTCAATTCCCCACAAAACGCCCTTGCACTTGCGAGGCGCGGAGCCCCCCCCCAGCGTGCAAATCGCTTGTGGCTTGCTTCGTGTTCAGCCCCCCCCCCGGCGCATGCAAGCAACCTTGCTGGAGTCTCAAAGAAAACAAGCTCCCACTTCCCCCGGGGCCGGTTTTTTTCGCCCTGAGGCTTGGCGAGGGCCCGCTGAAGCCGAAATCAGCCCACAAACCGCCCGCTCCAATTTTTTGGGGAGCATCGGAGATCCGATGTCGTGATTTTGTTCGACGCGGTGCCCCTGGAACTCTCGACCCATTACTCAGGACGGGTTCGTCCTCCCGAGAAAATTTTTGTGACGGTCCCGGGGCCAGGCGAGGGCCTCTGGAGGACGAGAGCGGAGCAAAACCTCCGCCTCGATTTCTTCAGCACGCTGGACCTCTGGCCGGAGGGTTCCAAAGGGGGTTTTTGAGGAGGGGGTTTCCAGTAGGGGTCCCCCAGGGGCTTCGCACCCCCTGCTTCGACGAGGTTCCGAGGCCCCTGGGGGGGCTCTCTGGAAAGCCCCCCCCCAACACCCTCTTTTTTGAACCCTCTGGTCTGGGTCTCTGGATCGATCTCTGGGTCTCTGCGCCTCCCCAGACCCCCGACGTAATGATTTTTTCATTACGTCGACCCCCTGAGGTCCCGACCCTTTCCCCATGACCGGCTTTGCATCCTGAGTCGTTTTTTGACGCTCCCGAGGCCCGGTGCGAGCCCCCGGAGGCCGAAAATTCGGAAAACCCTCCCGTCGTGATTTTTTCATTGCTCGAGGGGGTCTGGGTCTGGGTCTCCGGGTCAGCGTCCGCGCGCGGTGCCTCCGGAGGCGCCCGGCGGGGGCGGCCTCCGAGGGGCGGGCCGCCACGGCGGCGAGGGCGCGGCGGCCAGCGCGGAGGTTGGCGGCCGGGAGGGCGGCAGCCGCAGGAGCAGCGGCGGCGGGCACGGGCACGGCGAGGAGGCGCGGCCACGCGCAGAGGGGGGTAGCGGAGGGGGGAGGAGGAGGGGGAGGAGGCAGCGGAGGGAGGAGGACAGGGTAGGAGGGAGGGAGGGAGGGAGGGAGGGAGGGAGGGAGGGAGGGAGGAGGAGGGTTAGGAGGGAGGGAGGGCAGGGAGGCCGAGGGAGGGAGGGAGGGAGGAGGAGGAGGAGGAGGAGGAGAGGAGGGGGTAGGAGGAGGGAGGAGGAGGAGGAGGAGGAGGAGGAGGAGGAGGAGGCGGAGGAGGAGGAGGAGGAGGAGGAGGAGGAGGAGGAGGAGGGGGAGGGGGAGGAGGAGGGGAGGAGGAGGAGGAGGAGGAGGAGAGGAGGAGGAGGAGGAGGAGGAGGAGGAAGGAGGAGGAGGAGGAGGAGGAGGAGGAGGAGGAGGGGGGAGGAGGAGAAAGAGGAGGAGGAGGAGGAGAGGAGGGAAAGGAGGAGGAGGAGGAGGGGGCGAGGAGGGTGGAGGAGGGAAGGAGGGGGAGGAGGCAGCGGAGGAGGAGAGAGGGAGGAGGAGGAGGAGGAGGAGGAGGAGGAGGAGGAGGAGGAGGAGCAGGAGGAGGGGAGAGGAGGAGGAGGAGGAGGAGGAGGAGGAGGAGGAGAAGGAGGAGGAGGAGAGGAGGAGGAGGAGGGAGGAGGAGGAGGAGGAGGAGGAGGAGGAGGGGGAGGGGGAGGGGAGGGTGAGGTTGGAGGGAGGGAAGGAGGGCGAGGAGGGCAGCGGAGAGGAGGAGAGGGAGGAGGAGGAGGCGGAGGAGGAGGAGGAGGAGGAGGCGGAGGAAGGAGGAGGAGGAGGAGGACGACGACGACGCGACGACGACGACGACGACGACGACGACGACGAGGAGGAGGAGGAGGAGGAGGAGGAGGAGAAGGCGGAGGAGCGGAGGAGGAGGAGGAGGAGGAGGGAGGAGGAGGAGGAGGAGTTCGAGGAGGAGGAGGAGGAGGAGGAGGAGGAGGAGGAGGAGGAGGAGGAGGAGGTTCGAGGAGGGAGGGAGGAGGAGGAGGAGGAGGAGGACTTGCCCCCACTTGCGCACGACCTGTTCCTTGTCTGAACTCAGGGACTGAATGCTGAGTCACCGCTTAGAACAGGAGGAGGAGGAGGTGGAGAAGTCGGCCACGCGCAGAGGGGGGTAGGGGGAGGGGGACGGCTTCTTAGAAGCACCCCTGCTTCTAAGAAGCCTGCCCCCCTCCCCCTACCCCCTTGTGCGCACCGCCAAGAGGCGCTGGATAGCACCAGCTGTGCGGTCATGTTCGTGTTCTTCTCGGCGGCGTGCCCGGGGGGGGGGGATCTTAGACCTCTTCTCGTTGTGACAAAACCACGATGGAAGGTTTTTCGCTATTTTCCGCCTCACGGGGCTCTTACCCGGGCCCCGTGACCGTCACAAAAAACGACTCAGGATGAGAAACCGGTCCCGGGGAAGGGGTCCAGACCTCTGGGGGTCGACGTTGTGAAAAAAACACGACGTCGGAGGTCTGGGGAATCAGAGGAGAAAAAGGTACCCATATACCTCTACCCTTCGTCCGTGTTCCTCTTTTTGGGGCCTCCTGGGAGGCCCTCGTCGCCACCGCTGGATTCGCTTCGAAATCCTGGTCAGAACGCAACCCAGGAGAGTTCCGAGGAGTAGCGGTATCAGTACCTGTCGGTCTCCCCAGGGAGAGGCCTTCGGGCGCTTTCGTGGGTTCTCGCTGGCTTTCCAGCTTCGGGAGGCGTTACAGCGGCGGCGCCTCGCCGAGAGCGTTCCAGGGTAATCTAGGCCTCCCAGATGGGGTCGGAGTAAATGGGGTCGGAGGATCGCACCACATCGCCGATGCACCGCCGATGCGGCTCGATGTGGAGCCCAGGTTGCTTCACGTCGACGTCGCCGATGCATCGACGACGTCGACGACGCATCGCCAGTACATCGCCGATAAATCACCGATGCATCGCCGATGTATCGGCGATGTGGCGCGATCCTCCGACCCCATCCAGGGGGCCTCCGGGTAAGCCTTCGGGCGCTGTCGTGGGTTCTGGCAGGCTTTCCAGCCTCGGGGGGCGTTTCAGCGGCTGCGCCTCGCACAGGGCGTTCCAGGGGTGCACGGATCGTCCCGAGCGGCCGCTGGAGACCAGAGCTGCGACCCGGAACTTCACCACCCACCAAACCGCCCCAACCTAAACCCGAAGGCCTCCATCTGCCCTGGGGAACATTGAGAAAACACATGGAGCCCGTACCCCCCCCCCCCAACCCGAAGTTCGGGTCAAATTCGGGGCTTCGGGTTGGGTTGGGGTGGTCCGGTAGGCAGTCGGAAGCCAGACGGCGAGCATCAGGGAGGGGGCAGGCCGTCTTCGAGGGCGGTGGGGCTTCTCGGAGGCCCTCGCGTCCTCCGAGAAGTTTCCTCTGTCGTCCGGGCAGGCTCGGGAAACTCCTCAGAGGGCCGGAGACCTTCCGAGCCTTCTGGTAAGTCGGGCCTGTCCCTCTACAGGGGGAAAGTTCAAAAATAATATTATTAAAAATAGTCGGGGGACGATGTTTGACTACTTTTGAGCATTTTTGGAGTATGTTTCGGGTACTTTTTATGTTTCGTCCAGAATCGGCCCGTAGGGGGACATGTCCGGCCTAAGCCTTCTGAGAGGGCCCGCCCGCTCTGGCTCCCCCCCCCCCCCGGGCGCACCGCCGATCTTCGGCTGCCTGGTCATGGCGGGGTCCGTGAACAGCGTCCTGCGCTGGAACGACCCCGACATCCGCATGGCCTCGTACCGCATGCTCTCCGTGAGCGTGTCTATTTTTTGCGCAATGACCACCTTCAAGATGATCGAGAGCTTTACATCGAGCAGCTGATAGCGGGTGCACCGCCCAGGGGCCTGGGGATCAAGGACGTCAGCCACGATGTCCACCTTGTCATAAACATGATCATGTTTCCCTGCTTCATGGCCGCCATCACCTGGTGCTGCCGCTGCACCTACCGGAAGGAGCTCGACACGTGGTTCCGAGTGGCGAGGCTCCTCGTCCCGCACATTGCGGGCTTCAGTGGCTTTGTGCTGAGCGACAACATTCTCAGCGCGGTGGTCGAGCACGTCCACCGGCAGGAGGTCCCCTCCGCCATCTTCGTCGCGACGCTCCTCGGCCTGCTGCTCTCCATCCGTCTGCTCTGCTGGGCGATGCAGCGCTGGCGGCACCGCTCCTGGTACCAGGACTGCCTCGAGCGCGAGGACCCCGGGGAGGACCAGGACCCGGGGATCCTGCGAACGAGCAGCTCAGCGAGGTGGAATCACAGGAACGCCCTCGAGCAGTGCACCGAGGCGATCGAAGAAGGCGAGGACGACGTCACGGCATTCGTCATGAGCGGCGCTCTGTATGGCTTCATCCGCTACCACATCCTTAGCATGCGCAGCGTTGGGTGCCGCGAGGATGCTGCGACGTTCGAGATGGTCCCGCACAAGCTGCCAGAGAGCTGCGTCCACATCGAGGTTGCCAAAGCCTGGGTGTTGTGCACCGTCCCAGTCGTGGCCGCCATGATCGTCACGACCTGCAAGTGCTGGAACAGGCTCCCCCTCGTCGACCGGGCGGCCCAGTGCCTGAGCATGACCTTCGGCATGCTGGCCTGCAGGCTCATCCTGGGGCTGACTGTCCACGCCTTCTACTGGTACACGGAGTCGAAGGTCGCGGTCTACATGGGCACGGCCATCTTCACCACGACGCTGGCCATCCTGCTGACCTTCTCGCTCGACTTCCTGGCGGACCGCCTGGAGGACACCGGGCCCGAGGACGTGCTGGCGCCGCCGCAGGCGCGCCAGCCGGGGCCTCTTGCAGCGTGCTGGGCCGCCCAGATGGGGCTCTGACCCCTCCCCCAGGGCCCCCCTTGGGGGTGGCGCTGCGCGCGGCTACACCGGGGCCCCCGTGGGGCCCGGCACCATGGTGGCAGGAGAATGAAAGAAAGAGGAGAAGGGGATGGTATTGTGAAGTTCCGTTTGGCGTACCGTTCGCACGTCCCGCGGTCGTTTTTGTCCAACGCCACAGGGGGGCGTGCCACAGCGAGGGGGGTGAGGATGGTAGTGATGAGGCCCGGCGCCTAGGCGCCTCCTCTGTCAATGGCGGGCCCAGCACCCCTGGGCCGCGCCACCGCACACGCACATGCCGCTGGCCATGATTCTGCGCACGCCCCCCCCCCCCTTGGACGCCCCTCTGAGGGATCGCCCCGACCCTGGGGTCCCAGACCCCTGGTGGGGATAGGACAGACGATATCGCTCCAGGAGCGTGCCAGAGCGGGGCCTATCGAGAGCGTTCCGGAGCGCTCTGAGAAGCGCACGCCGGCGCCCGCTCGAGCATCCCTCAGGGCACGAAGGCTCGCAGAGACCCTGGTGTGTTCCGTCCCGACGTTGCGCCCCGGCCGCCCCACCGACCCGCCCGGGGGGGCCGGACAGGGAGGAGTTTCTTCGTTAAGAGAAGTAGATGGAGGAGAGGAGGAGGAGGAGGAGGAGGAGGAGGAGGAGGAGTGGGGAGGGGGAGGAGGGAGGAGGGGGGAGGAGGGGGAGGAGGAGGAGGAGGAGGAGGAGGAGGAGGAGGAGGAGGAGGAGGAGGAGGAGGAGGAGGAGGAGGAGGAGGGAGGGGTGGAGAGGAGGAAGGAGGAGGGTAGGAGTAAGTAAGTAGAGTAGTGTAGTGTAAGGAGTAAAAAGTAATATAACACTGGAGATCCCCGCGCCGCCGCCAGGCCTCGCGAGCAGGGGCAGTGCCGGAGAGAGCGCCAGGAGGGAGGCCGCCGGGAGGGTCGAGATGTCGGATGTGGGCTTTTCTGGAGGAGGAGGAGGAGGAGGAGGAGGAGGAGCAGACGAGGGAGGAGGAGCGCGGAGGAGGTGGAGGTGGAGGAGGAGGAGGAGGGGGAGGAGGAGGAGGGGGAGGAGGAGGGGGAGGAGGAGGGGGAGGAGGAGGAGGAGGAGGAACAAGATCGCGACGGGAGGCTTTTGACAGTTTTCGGCGGATTTCTCAGGAGAGAGTTGACGGCCATATTTTCACTACCCAGAGACCCAGACCCTCTCCTATTTTCACTACCGGAGGTTTTTCCTAATTTTCGGCCTCCGGGGGCCCTCACCGGGCCTCGGGAGCGTCAAAAAACGACGCAGGATGCAAAGCCGGTCATGGGGAAAGGGTCGGGACCTCTGGGGGTCGACGTAATGAAAAAATCATTACGTCGGGGTCTGGGGATCCGCCGGCGGTTTTTCCCGGATTTCGGCCTCCAGGGCCCGCCATCGGGCCCGGGGGCCATCAAAAACGGATCTGGGACGAAAAATCACCCCCGGGGAAGGGGTCGGGACCTCTGGGGCCGCGGGTTGAACAGATCAGATCGGCGGATTGAAGGAAGATGATCGGCGGATTGAAAAAAACATATCGGGGGGCCGGGATTCAAGAAGAGGGATCTGGCGGCTCAAGCGCTGCATAGGGTATGCGGGGCCATCCGTTGTCGGCCCCTGAGGTGGGGGCCCTCGCCAGGCCTCAGGGCCGAATATAAAACGACTCGGCATGACAAGCCGGTCCAGAGGAAGCTGTCGGGACCTGTGGGGGTCCACGTTGCGAATCAAATCGCCACGGCTGGATTCCTTTCGGGATTCTGGTTGGAACGCACCCGGGGAGAGGTCTGGGGAGCAGCGGCATCGGTGCCTGTATGTTGTTTCCCCAACGTGGGCACAGGATCGGGGGTCAGGAATCGAGGAGGGTGGAGGAGGGTGCAGTCGGGCGACGGAAGCTGTACGTATCCACTGCCCCCTGGCCTGGCCCTTCCTGGGCCCAGGAGCTGTGTACACGCCCTCGCGGCCAAGCCAGGAGGGCGTGGCGTATACAACTGCTGGATTCAGGATGGACCTGGCCAAGGAGCAGTGGATACGTACACAGGACATGCGACGTCTTGATTTTTCAATGCGGGGCCCCTGGAAGTCCTGACACTTTTCCAGGGACTGGCTTTTCATGCTGAGCCGTTTTTTGGTGGTCCCGCGGCCCGGCGAGGGCCCCCCGGTGCCGAAAACGGCCAAACATCTCCCGCCCGGCTTTCTTTGACGACGCGATCCTGTCTGGGTATAGATTTCGTGGGTCGAGGAGGGTCGAGGAGGGTCCGTAGAGTTGTGGCACCCGTGCCTCTTGGCCAAGACCGGCTGCCCCGAGGCTCGTGCCCCTCCCGGAAGTCGGCCGCGGGCGGCGCCGCTGCGGGCCCTCTGGAGCCGGGCGGGGGCGAGCAGGACCTTCCTGCCGCTTCTCCCAATAGGATACTTTTCTCCCAATCCTATACCCTCACATAACTAGTCAAAAGAGTCACTGAATCACTACATAATCTCAGGAAGTCTCGTCTTCATCGAGTCTTCTCCTCATCCTCTTTCCTCCTCCCCTACTCCTTCGTCTCCTCTCCTTCTTCTTCGTCCACTCCTACCCATGCGCTTTCCTCGACGTTCCGCCTTATCCCGACTATTCATATCCTCCCTCACTCGACTTCCTTCCTCCTTCCTACTCGGGGCCTCCTCATATACCTCGGGGGGCCTACTCCATCCCCCCCCCACTCCTCTCCTCATTCTCCCTTCCTACAGCCCTCCGACGCCTGCCTCCTCACCGACGCCGAGACCGAGACCTCCGCCGCGCCCTCCTCCTCCCTCATCCGCCTCCTAATAAGACCAACCTCCGACGTCCTACTCGCTGCTCCTGCCTCCGCAGTCGTCCTCCGTTTCGTCTCCACAGCTCTCCTCACTCCTCCTAACTCCTACTCCTCCGTACAATCCTCGCCTCTCTCATCCTCCTTCTCCTCCTCTCCTCCTCCTCATTACCCTCATCCGCCGCCTTCTCCTTATTTACTCTCCTTTCCTCCATCTCTGACATGTCGAGCCTACTCATCGTCCTAAGAATGCCTCTCCTCCTCTCTCTGTCACCACCATCTTCATCCTCGAGCGGGCTATTTTTCGCCTCCCCTCCTCCTCCTACTCCTCCTCCTCCTCCGGCCTCCCACTCCTCCCCTCTTCCTCCTTCTTCTCGAGGAGAAGGAGGAAAAAGGGAGGAGGGGCGGAGGAGGAGGGGGGGGAGAAGGGCGTAGGAGGAGGGGTATGAGGAGGAAGGGAGGAGGAGGGGAGGAGCGAGGAGAGGAGGAGGAGGAGGCGGGAGAAGGGAGGAGGGAGAGGAGGAGGAGGAGGAGGAGGAGGAGAGGAGGAGGAGCCTTTCCACAGCCTTTCCCCTGGCAGCGAAGCCGCCTCTCCTCCCTCCCGCGGCGGGCCCGCCTGCGGCGCCACGCGGACCCGCGGCTCAGCCCGCCGCGGCCACCGCGAGGTCGCGGGCGGGCTCCCCGCGGCCGCCAGCTTCCTTCTCGGGCGATGGGTTAGTTACATTCCGTCCCCCATCGCCCGAGGTGTCCGTGTACTTCACCTTGTCCATGTTCTGCACGTGCTTCGGGTTGTCCTTCACCTTGTCTATTTTCAGCACGGTCAGCGGGTTGTCTGTATGCTTTACTTCGTCTATGTTCAGCTCGATGCACGTGCTGTACTCTTCGAGCTGCTGGTCTCCGTCATGCTTCGTCTCTGCTGGCTTGTTGTTGTCCTCGTCGCTCGTGCCCAGGGTGTCCGTGGAGTCCTCACTGCTTGCCGGTGTCGATCCCGCGGCTGCCAGTAGGCGCTTCGTCACTGCTGCTGCCCTGTTCTCGCGCTCTGCCTCGTCATCATCTTCCTGTGGCGACGAGGTATCTTCCCACGGTTCTTCCCCTGACGTTCCTCCTTCTCCTCCTCCTTCTCCTCCTCCTCCTTCTTCCTCCTTCTCCTCGGGCCTCCTCCTCCTCCTCCTTCCTCCTTCTCCTCGGGAAGAAGGAGGAAGGGGAGAGAGAGGAGGAGGAGGAGGAGGCGGAGGAGGAGGAGGAGGCGAAAAAGGAGGAGGCGAAAAAGGAGGTGGCTGCGGTGCCGCCGTTGCCTCTTCTCCCGTCGGTGTCGCCTCCGGCGCCGCGAGGGCCCCCGCGGCTCAGGCCGCCTCGTCCGCCCCGCGGGCTCCCCGCGGGCGCCGGCGCCGCTCCTCGCGTGGTGTCGGCGGGGCGGCGTCCTCGCCGGCTCGGGCAGCTCCTTCGGCGTGGTGGTCTTCTCCTTGCCGCGGATCGCGACGCCCTCGCAGGTTGGTGCTGCTTCCTGCTCGCCCTCGATCGCTGAGTCAGTTGCATTGCGCCCCCCGTCGCCCGATGTCTGTGTGTGCGTGTGCTTCACCTCGTCGATGTGCTGCTCCTTCGTCTGGTTGTCCGTGTGCTTCTCCCTGTTGTAGATCTCGTCGCCCACGATGGTTGGCGCTGCTTCCTTCTCGGGCGATGGGTTCGCTACATTCCGTCTCCCGTCGCCCGAGGTGTCCATGTACTTTACTTTGGCTATGTTCTGCATGTGTTTCTGGATGTCTTTGTCCTTTACCTTGTGTATGGTCTGCTCGGTATGTGGGTTGTCCGTGCACTTTACCTTGGCAACGCTCTGATCGGTCTCGCTGTTCGTGTTGTACGCGTTGTGCTGCTGGTTGCAGTCGTGCTGCTGCTCGACAGGCTTGTTGCCGTCCTCGGACTCGTTAGAGGTGTCTGTGGTGTCTTCACTGCTGGCTGTTGCTGATCTCGCTGCTGCCAGTAGGTGTTTTGGCAGTGCCTCTCTCCTGATCTCGCGCTCTGCCTCGTCGTCGTCTGCCCTGGCCGTCCAGCTCTGTGGCGGCGGGATCTCTTCCGAGGGTGGGTCGGCTGCTGCTTCTGCCGCGGCCCGCTCGCCCGACCCCAAATCTCTCGGTGCAGTGGAAAGCACGGAGTTACGAGCCCGCATATGCGGTCAGGGCAGGCAAAACATGATGCGCTCGCACACTGTCATCGTCACAGTCATCGCCATGGTCATCGTCACCTGCATCCCCGTCGGGCCTGGGCGGCAAGCCTCCGGCCTCGGGGCCCTTCGCGCCCTGGCCCTGGCCAGTCTCCGCACTCCCCGCCTTGCCAGTGCTCCTCGTCGGCTGTCACCTCCCAGTGCTCGCAGCTTGCACGCCATGGGCTCGCAGCTCGGGTAGCCCATGCGTGGCATCTGTAGACTTTCGGCTGCTGAGCTCCGTGACCGAGCTGGCGCAACGCTTCTCAGTACCATCGCATTCGGCTTGCTGTCCATCTCACTGGGCGCGCCGCCGTTCCGTGGTAGCTTACTTCTCGTCCTTCTTCGGGTGGTGGTCCTCGGCGTCCGTGCTCGAACCACGCCTTGAGCACCTCCATGCCCGTGTGCTCGTCGACCGCCCGGCTGCAGCAGCCGCATGTCCACCCTGTGCCTCGCCGGTGTCGCTGCAGCGTGTGCGCGGTGTGCGGCCGGACCGCGACGTCACTGTCGAAGCGGTGCTTCGTCTGTTTTGCGTTGGCGTGTTTCCTCTTGTGTTGCTGTGCGCCTTGCTGCTCGAACTTCTCTGCCTTCGCCTGGCCTTCGCTCGATGGTGCGTTGTCGGGCTAATGATGCCGTAGCTCGCGCCCACTCGTAGCAGCTCATCTCGTTGCGCGGGATAGCGTGTCGTAGCGCTACCTGTTTTGCGAGGCGGTCCGCATGTCTGTTGCCTTCCCAGACAGATCTGGGTGTTTGCTTGCTGGCGGCCTCCTCCTCCGTCAGGTGGCCCTTGCCGTGCTCGATGCTGGTATCGTTTCGCTCGCCCCTTTCGTGGATCGTGTCCGCGACCTTCCTCCAGAAGTCACTGTTCGCCCCTGTCTGTAGCTCCTGCTGGTCTCTCTGCATCTGCCAGTCGATGTACGTGATCTCGCTGTCCGTCCAGAAGTTGATGGGTCCTCGCGTTGACGCCAAACACCTGATGAGCGCGAACAGCTCCGCCCTGTTGTTGGTCTGCCTGCCGCCTGGCAAGGCTCCGTAATTATTGGCCTGCGTAGATGTCGCAGTTTCGCGCCCTGCTGGTGTTCTGGTCGGCGATCACCCGGCCCCAGCCACATCTTCTGCATCGGCCGTCGCTGCTGCATTCGCCGCCTGAGCCGTCTCCACATGCTTCCAGTCGTTCTCCTGGTGCTGGTCTGACTAGGTGTCCATCTCGCGCTGCTCCTATGGCCTCCTCCCAGACCCCCGACGTAATGATTTTTTCATTACGTCGACCCCCTGAGGTCCCGACCCTTTCCCCATGACCGGCTTTGCATCCTGAGTCGTTTTTTGACGCTCCCGAGGCCCGGTGAGGGCCCCAGGAGGCCGAAAATTAGGAAAAACTTCCCGTCATGATTTTTTCATTACTCGAGGGGGTCTGGGCTCTTCGCCGTCCTCGGTGCTGCAGGCTAGTGGTGTACAGTCCATGCCGATGGCGTCGGCCCTCGCAGCCCGGAGACGGGGTTCGCCTCGGCCTCTTGCAGAGCTCTCTCGCTGCGAGGCCCTGTGTCTTCTCGTCGATCTCGTTCGTTCGGCCTCCTCGCGTCGCAGTTCTCCCAGATATGCGGTGCAGCTCGGCGTCGACGGCTGCGCCATTCGCTCCTGTTGTCGGTGCCGCCGAAGGTGGTCGTTCTCCTCGACTTTGTCCACGATCCTGCGCACGCTGCGGTGATCAGCGCTCCGTACGGCTGGTGCTGGACTTTCTTTCTGTGCGCCTCCAGGTGCTTGATGATGTCTCTGCAGTCGGTAGCACCCTCGGCTCCTTTCCCGTTGTAGTGATTTGACGCTTCTTGCCCTTGTCGTATTTGTACGTCTCGTATCAGCGCTTCTATGCTGTCGTCTGGCTATCCGTCTGCCTGGCCGTCTGGGAGCCTCCACATGTCGCCCTGCTGGCCGATCCAGATGTCTGGCCCGCGTGGGTCCCAGCCTGCTGACCATAGAAGCAGGACGATGCTGCCCATGACGCCTCGTCTTTGTTCCCAGCGCTGTGTCTCCTCGGTATGCCGGAGCCTGGAGTAGACTTGTGGCCGTGCTCTTCGCGCCTGCGTCCTGACGTCGGGGCACCTGCTCCATGTGCCGAACCGCGCCTGGAGCTGTCCTCTGGCGATGGTATCCTTCGTCGGAAACTGGAACATATACATTACCAGTGGCGGGTTTTGCTTCAATCCCCAGACTTTTCTGAGGGTCGGTGACGACGCCGGGCTGGTGTGGCGTATACTTCTCCCCCGTTGTCCAAGGGAATCAGCGAACATGTATACACCAGAATCCCGTATACACCAGGATCCGCGTTCGCGTGCGAGTTCAGCGCAGGGTCAGAAAAAGCGTCGGTGTACAGAGCTCGTTTCCCTACTTCAGGTCGGCGCCTT